CTGACTGACTGACTGACTGACTGACTGACTGACTGACTGACTGACTGACTGACTGACTGACTGACTGCATCACGTACCAGAAACTGATTTAGCCTTTTTCTTCTTTTTCTATGGTTCATGGTATATCGATCATTCTGCACTTATCGAGATTGTCATTAAATTTTTAAACGTGAGCATGCTCAGTTAACACTTTAAGTTTTAACACAGCGAAGATATCCACAAGCCTTACGTAGACCAGTGGTTGTAGCGAAGGCAAGCATTTTTACGGTATGAACTTCTTATAGTGATCCATGTACGGATCTGCCAACATGAAGTTGATAGGAGATCCGATGCGGACCCAAAACTGCTTATGCTAAATTGAACTTGAAAGGAAAAATCCCTACATTCATACGGAATTCTTTTAAATGCCGAATAGATTAATTTGTTCGTGTGTTCGTGTTCATACTGACAACTGAAAAATGCATTAAAACGGTTTATTTATACACAAAGCAAACATGTAAGTTGGTCAATCAAGTGAATGATCTCTACCGACGTTTCGGCTCGTTTCTCACGAGCCTTCTTGAGGCTGGTTCCCTTTGAAATATCGCAGGTGCATGTTGCGTTTAAAGTGTTGGCAATGCTAGAACACCGTTGACTGTTGTCGAAGCAGACTGCAATGAATACCTCCTTCTATAATCTTTTCGCAGACTGTTCGATTGTTTTAGTAAATGTCGAATTCATCGCCTTTTGCATAACTCAGAGTTTTATCGATCTTTGGGTCTCATACTAACAGGTAATTGTAGATGGCTTTATTGCAGCAAGAGAACTCCCTAATCGTCAAAGCGTGATCTTGCTGTAAGATACTGTTAGACAGTCACTGAAACACGGCATCAGACGACTAAATTACGCACAACGCGGCCGAAGGTATGACCGGCAGATCATGCAATACACTGAGCATTTTGCCTTATCAATAACTGAACCGTTTGATGGTGCATCTCGTTCTGTGACTAGTAAAGCGCGAAAAAAAATCCATCCATAAGCAGCAGCCTTGCCACATTCTGCTAGTGGTGAGTTAGCAGTGGCAGTGCCTCGTCCGTTAGAGTTGACAGCTCTGGGAAACGTTGACAACAGCAGCAACAATTTACTGATCATTCGTAATTAACACCAGTCATTATTTGCCCCATTTTGATGCCCACGCTTGTTTGTCTGAACTTCCGTCGTTCTCTTTTACCTCCTCACCCTATCTGAGTTGAGTTCTTGAAATTAGGCGCTTGCAACCTCTTGGGTACTAATGCATCGTACTGAAGTTGAACGGTCATCCGTCATTTGTGTGATGTAGTCGGTCGCAATTCGACTTAAGCTGCACACGAAGGATTGGAGGCTATTTTTGTTTGTGCTTTTCATTTTATTCTTTCTTGGGCAACTGCTTTTGGCCACTGTCCGCGGTTGCCGGGCGCCTTTTCCTTTACACTGGCTAAATGGCGTCTCAGGTGACGGCTCTATGAACTTGATACGGCCGGAATGTTCCTCAGTGAGATCAAATCCTCCCACGTCTTATCCGGCGGTTTCTCATACCAAAATTCCGTCATCTTGACTAAAGCAGCTCCAAGGAACTCACTCATTTTCTCTCCCATCAGTCATTATTGGGATATACAGTGCACCTGTCCCGTAAACTTGCGTCTTCCATTCAGAAAGGTAAAAGACATTATGGAAAACTTTTTCTTGTTCTGCGCGTTCTCCAGATCCCAGTCCTTCGTCGGAGTTTTGAGATGAATCCTTTTTTTCAGACAGATTTTCTTTGGAAACTTACAAACGTCTGTCAGTTCATAAATAACATTACCTGCTTAATTGACTTATTCAAGGTACATGCACTGATAGGAGTCGATATGCCTTTCAAACGATTCTGTGAAGTCAGTCGACCTGTAAACTCAAACTTACGGACTGAAGCCCATAGAAAGCACAGTGAAATTTTCTCTTCAAATCGATTGCTTTGAGCAATTTTATAGGCACAACATGTTTCAGTAATGATTCAGATCGAAAGGTTTTCTGATTTCTGTTAAAATCCATGAATATCATCGCCTATCTGATTCGCCAGATCAGGTTTCATGTTAATTTTTTATGATTTTGGATATAATTTTCCTCAGTTAATCACTCCATTTTATTTTCGTCATGTGTCATCGCCTGTTTTCAATCTCTGTAACGTGGATGGTACGAACTTATTTTTTGGAGATCTATTACATTGCATTTATATCATTGATTTAGGACGAGTTTCAAGATGCTTTGGAAGATCGCCCTGCTGTTGACGTTTTGGATCTTCCGGTATCAATCGAAGAATCTCGAATAGCGATGAATCTCTTTTTGAACAATCACCTTAAAAAGGCTGTTTCCTACATGGAACCTTGGTAATACTGGTTCATTAAGTTCTGACTCTGTCTCTGCATGATATCTTCTTATAAAAACGAAATTTTTTTCCTTAACTTATAATTTATCTTCTTATCATCTCAGATTTAATCGATTTATTCTAATTAAATGCTTTATGCAAGTCACAAAAGTTTTTATACCGCCGATGCGACTGATGGTACATTCGAAACAGTAAAGAAAAAATGCAAACAAGTATCTGAAAGTGATTTCAGTTCAGAGTCTTCTTCAATAAATTGCCACAGTTCAATATATTGCTCTAGATACAAATAAACGACATACGGTAGTCTTTATTTTGACTGTCTTTTCAGTCATGCATCATTTTAGGATAAACAGCAACCGTAAGAATGGTAAATGCAGCTTGATGAGACGTCGGCACTTACAGTAAAGGCTACCGTCTGTCTGTTTCTTTTTGTCTAGAATCGTTCAAATGGTATTGTATTAACAATAAATGTTTCCTTTCTTAAAGTCTGTGCATCGAAAACAAATACTCATAATGTTCAGTTTTCTCTGTCTTTTGCTGAGTAATCTTTTTGTACCTAGACTTTATGCCGATGGCTTTTTGCGCTTTTAGATACATCAAGATCATCGTCTAAAACCAAGCTTAAAATGGGCATAAAATTTGCTAAGGTTTCTCATGAAAAGATCAAAAATAATGTTATCAGTTGACGATTACCTGATTGACAGATCGTTTAGTGCTCATGGCAGGTAGATTTGAATCGTGATGTATTAGTGAACTAATTCAGAACAAAATTTTAAGCTTCGCCGCACTTCTAATTAACAGATATACTTTTTTGCCTATACTTTATAACTTTATAAGCTAAATGAAAGGTATTAAATTGAAACATTGGTTTCAATGCGATGATGATTTACTCCAGTAGACTTTCAGTTTGGCATCTAGTATTTACTAGAGGCTGCATTTTAGCTGAATTTTGACGTTTTGCGTCGGTTGTGTAGAATTACTGATACGTCGAAAATGAGATCTTGGTAATCTTTATCTGCGTATAAACAGCAGCCACGGACTAAGCAAGCGGCCGCTGCCATAATGTCCGACGTGGATGTCATATCCTTAATTGTGTACCAGGAGGGAGATACCATGTTTGGGGTTAGAAGTACGAATCATTATTGTGCATCATTGTAGCTTTATATTTGTATGGCGTGCAGAAGAGTCGGACTAGTAACCAACTACAAGTTGTTTCTGCAACCTTTCCCCATTCCAGCACCGCTCACAGCAGACGAAGCAGCAAGAAGAAATGACCTCAAGCGTCCGGAGCTAATTCGTCCATGATGTACGAACCATTTGCGCCTATAATCTCATTGATGCGTATGTGTCATTGTCAGTAATGCTCCCCTGTAGCATCATAATTCTGAATCTAGTGATGTCAGCGGAAAAGTCGTAATTTTAGGCGCGTTCTGTGGCATCCGCTAAAGCGAAAGTCCTGAGCGACTGTAGCAGATATGACTGGAGTGTGTATTTCAAAATTCCATACTGACCGTATCCTTGTTTAGAATTCCATAATAGGATTCTTTGAGTGACTGATGTTTTTTCCTTGTGCATGCTATTATAAAGTCATGGAATTCTTTGCTCCTGAAGCAGTGAAGATAACTCGTATTCTTCGGTCTTGACTGGTATTTCTTGGTTGGTTATTAGTTGGAACCTATGGACCATAACATGTGGCATAGACAACGTTACTGGAAGGCGATCTGCCGGCAAGCGATAAGGAAGAAGTCGTCCATGCTACATAATAAAAGCTTCATCGTCGTACTGGATATATGTTGAAAACGAAGTATGTATGTACCTATTTATGTGTACTTCGAAAATAAACCCTATGACTCTGTAGCCGCTGTCGAGTATCACATATGTATAACAATTATCAAATTATCAAAAATATTTTGTATCATATATATTATATCATGTTCTGAAAATACCTTATTAGGCAACTCCGTTTTGAAAATCAGCGGCTGAAAGATAATTCGACACTGTTTAAACCCGTTGCTGTTTGCGAAGAGTATTTTGATCCTCTTGAGGTGATCAGAAGATCTGCAAAGCAGAATCCAATAGCCGAATGACACAAGCATCAAAGTAGGACTGAAAATGAATGTGGAGAAGACTCGAACCATGTTTAAGAGATATACGACCCCGTGATTTTTTGAAGTCAGTGGACTGATTCTTTCAGAGGTGCAGAACTAAGTCTGTCTGTGGCAGCTCATCTCAGCAATGTTGATCCCACTCTTTGAAATCAGTGAC